AATATCACAGTAAAGATAATCATGTACAGCACGTATCGAAGATGCTTCCGATTCCAGATGACGAGATGGAGCCGCGAGTAGAGAACCACAGCCTGCGGCACAACCATGAGCCACCAGGTGGCATAGATAAGCGCCATTGCCACCCACATATGCCGCAGCACGCCAAAATCAACCAAGATGATAAGTAGTGATTGGAGGATAACGCCCCAGGAGCAGAGACAGCAGCTCCAGAAGTACAGCCCACGTTTTCGCCTATTGTTTTTTTTGGTACAGTATCAGCACCAGCACCAGCTAAATGTTGATCATTAGACCCAAAAATGGCCTTTTCTTTTCTTTTTCTTTCCCTTTTTTTAATTTTTTAATTTCTTATTTAGAGGCAGCGGGAACGTACTTGAAGATTAAGAACAGTCGGATATTCAATTCCGCACCGATGTACCACGAAATGCCCACGAAGGCCGCCATGGCCATGGCGACCGGCAGGTCCTCTTTGAGTTTGTCTGCGGCATTCATGGCGACGAATAAATGCTCGCTCGCTTTCTGGCAGCCAGAGGAATCAAACAACAAACAAATGGGAGTGGAAAGAAAGCGGTGCGTCAGGCAGTCGGTCGGTCAGTCAATCAGTCAATCAAGTCGAGCGAAGTAAAAAGGGACTGGCAGCTCTTCAATCATGAACATTAGAATTTCAGCTATGTTTCAAATCACATCGAAGATCGCTGCTAAGGATTGCGGGGGAAAAGAAGAGACCCATTCCAAAGGCAAAAAAAGACGAAGAAATAAACGGTTCTCTTCCATGAGATATATAACGCGGGCTCTCACCCAGCTGGGTCGAGTTTTGCTGACACTGGGGCCAAGCGGGTTTCAAGCCATCTTTTCTTACTATTACGCCAAAGCTCGCCAGAATCAGCACGACCTTGTGCAAGCGGAGCCAGAGAGTGGGGGGACTTGTTCCGAGTGTTACCCGACCCGTGTCCAGCGGGTGGGAGGCGTTGGCTTTTTTAGTACTCTGTATTGCAACGGGAGCGGAAAAGGGGCTTCTTAGCCGCTGCTGTGGGTTCAAGTTTCGGGTGGTGGGGGACAAGAGAGGAATTGAGTAAGAGTGGAAATCTGGGGGAATCAGACAGGAGCTGGTCTGGAATATTTTAAGCTTTCCACCGTCGAGAGCTGAAGCAGCCTTCTCGTCATCTTTGCTCTCATATATCCCGTGTTTGTATGATGCTTGCTGACGTTGGGGCTAACGTACCGCTGCACCTATTTGGCGTGAGAAGGTACAAAACAGTTAGGCCACTGCGAGCAGGCAAACCCAGAAAGTAAACAAACTTCATATCTTTCCCTAGTTATACTAAATTAGTGTGGTGGTAGTGTGCGATGCGAATCATAAATGCCCAATCATGATCATCCAACCACCTCATCTGGCGTCCAAGGCCACTGCGCAACGACAACAATAACAACAACAACGACAATAATAATGATAATAAAATAATAATAATAATAATAATAATAATAATAATAATAATAATAATAATAATAATAATAATAATAATAATAATAATAATAATAATAATAATAATAATAATAATAATAATAATAATAATAATAATACGCAGATGCCCATGCCTGGCGTGACGGGCGCATCTATATGTCCGCTGTTCCGCAGGTTAAAAAAAAAGAGCAGGCAAAAGAAGCTCGACAGAACTTGGAAGTAGGTAGCCATCATGTAAGGGTAAAGAAAGTCACGTGATATCAGAAAGAGAACATGAAACAGAGCTGGATTATGTGCAGTTCTCATCTCCATCTCCTCCTCAATTCCTTGCCTGGAGAATCAAGGCAAGAGATCGATCGGGATATTCGGTGATAAACAATGAAAACCAACACTAACAGTGCCGGGATCCGGGGGTCGGAAACTCTGCCTAGTGTGACATGGGACGAGAGAAAGTTTGAACCCGATAAATAATACGATGATATCGGTAATGCAGGCCAAGAGGCCTGTAACACTGGTGTAATTTAGGGGTCAGCTTAACTACTATGCAGCGTAAACCATAAACCATAGCCATAAGCCATGGCGGGAGGGGGGTGGACAGCCCGCGAATCAACGAATCAAGCGCCCCCCCGCCAGTAGGATTCTTTGGAGGAGGAATTGAAACAATAATGGCTTTCTTTTACCGGTTCAAATAACTAACTACTCCGTACTAGCATGTGCACTGGCATCAGTCTTCTTCTTTTCCTTTCTTTTTCCTATTTTCTTTTTTTCGCCAAATGCGAACTTTATTATCCGAGGAGAGGCGCATCAACTCTCCAAGCCTAGGTATGAACTAGGGGGCGTGCTGTATCTGATCGGTCATTGCGATCGAGTTTGGAGTGGCTGTTTTGTCTCCCGTTTAAGTCTCGTATTATTATAACCAGTCCTTTCTTTCTCACTACTGCACTGCGTCTGCTCCGATGATTCTTCAAAGCTTATGGCGGAACTTGCCCCCACGGCCTCGCTTACAAACATTGCCTGCTCTGCTGCCAAAAAAGGGGCGGAAGAGAACAATAAGGTTTCGAGAAGCTGGAAGCTGAGTGGCACCAGCCACCAGGGACAAGGATTAGAGCTATTTATCATTGATCGATCCTCCTGACTACTGTGTAGTTATGGTATGCCTGCCTTCCATTAGGCGAAATAACCGCTTGCCAAAACAAGAGCAATGTTTTGCTTGCTCAGTTATCCGTTGTTGCTTCAGCTTCGGAGGGGAACAGGTGGATCTAGGTCTCCATCTTCAGAGGCGGGAGAGCGGCGGTTGCGCGGGTGGAAACTTTGGTACCGCCGCCCGGCATGCCGACTGTCAAGAAGAACGCCATATCCTCTTTTTCTTTTTCTATTTCTTTTCTTCTTTCTTCTTTCCTCTTTCTTCTTCCTTCTTCCTTCTTTTCTTCTTTTCTTCTTTTCTTTTTTCTTTTCTCCGGTTCTGGTTTCTTTTTTTGCTAGGAAGGCCTGGTTACGGACGTATCTTTTGAACGGGTTTAAGTTTTCGAAGCCGAACATGGTTGCAAAAAAGAATAGATGATTTGTAAGCTACCACTTACCTTGCAAACCTCTTTTACTTAATACTCTCATACAAAAGTTCACCATCTCAATGTTATTCACCATCAATATGATTATTTTCAAATCTACTTTATCTCTCTCTTCAAAATGGAATAATCAGTTGATACAATGATTTCTGTATATATTTTAATAAAGAATAAGATCTCAGGCTCAATATTAAAATATTCAATCTATTCATTATTCTTACTAAATTATATAAATTTACATAGTAAGATACCTTTTGTCCACTCTAAAGCTTCAAATTTCATGAATTCAAATATCTGATATGTTTTTTAGCTGTACTCTGTACACAGTATCAATTTAACTGCTATAAATACTGTCATGGTTATTAGCTGCCACCCAGACTCTAGCCACTAGGTTAAAAAGATCATAAGACGGCTGGCTCCTTTGCCAGCTGCGCCCACCACCCATCCTTAATAGTGGTGGCTTGCCTGCTCCTGCTCCCGGCGCCCCGGGGCATACCGTTAGAACTGCCTCCCCCTATCATAGGGCACATCCCAAGCCCAGACGCCTAGGCTCCAGGACACGCAGCCCCTAAGGAAGGCAGTCAGTCCAGTGTCCACTAACCAGCCGTAGCATCCCAGAAGCCGCCAAGCTGCCATGCTGCTAAGTCAAGCCACGCCTCGTTAAACCCCAAGGATTCAGGAATGCAACCCTGTCTGTCCTTGTCAGCTGTTGAACCCACAACCTCTGGGCAACTGAAGTCTGCACGAAGCCAGCCGAATTGTCATGATTATAAGCTACCAGGTCTGGGCTCTAACCACTAGGCCAAAAAGACCACCCGTCCTTACGCTGGGCACGGAGTATATAGCGGTGGCTTGCCTGCTCCCGGCGCCCCGCGAGTTGTTGACACCGCTTGGAAAACCAACAACCTCATTGGATTCGTTTAGCAGCATATTGAAACCCGTTTCCTTGGATAAAAGCGACCATTGTACTCTACGGAGTACTCTGGCAGAATTGAGGATGGATGGGTTTCAGAGAAGCGAGATGGCGCCGTATGCGATATTTCCAATAATGATGGCTTGTTGAGCTCTCTCAACCTATGGAATAATTCTCCTAACGGTTGGATTTGAGACGGGCGTTCGCCTAACAATTCCTATCAGAAGATTTCACGGGTTGGTCCTTTCGATGCCGCGGTCTACCCTATACGCGGCGTATATCAAGTTCCACAGAATAATAGAATACTATGTAGGTATCATAACCGGGCCCTAGATGATTTGTAAGTTACTGCTCACTTGCAACCTCTGGTTGGACCCTCACATTTGGGAGTCTTGCCATCTCAATATTACTACTCCGTATATCTCATCCCTCGTCGTGCCTTACCGCCTTGATATGGCCAATAGGCAAGCTGAATTACATAGCGACTTCTAGCCAATAAGTAGTCAATAATTGGGCAGAAAAATACGCTATTTGAGGCCTCGCTCCCTGACGAGGGGATACTCACAATATTTAGTCAATTTATCACTCAATGAAGCTATTTGATATACAGATTGATTATATTCTAAATCAACTATTTCTGTAGTTTCTTATAAATTTGATAGTTTATTTTATAAAAGAGTTATTATATTAATTATTTTAATACTACTCTTATATAAAGTTTTGTTCCCTGTGGGCCGACCGTTTCCGCCCGCCGCCACGTGATTCGGTCTCCATCTTTCTTGTATTTACCCGTTGGACCCCTCCATATGATATATGATGGTGAATGGAAGTTGCTGAAGATAAGATGAGAGGAATCAGTGTCCAGCACAATAAATTTCCAAGGATGGCCGCTCTATACATTCCAATGGGAAGGGAGCGATAAGTAACGGGCTTTTTCTGTTCCTCCCCCCCCCTACAACCTAATATATATATATATATATGCCAATTGCACGCTATTTTAAGAATTAAGGAGACAGGCTGTATAAGACAAAAACTTTTGCGGTGGTGAATGAAACCTGCATGGAGAGTAAATCAATGGCTAGAAAGATATATACGTATAAAAAAAGGATTTCTACCCCAGAATCTGTCTGGTATGTAACTATCGCAGTTGCAAAATTGGATGCCGAGTTCAACAGCTCCTTCAGCCTCGACCTTGAAGATCGCGGCTCACTTTGACATATAGACATCTTTCCGTATTAGTTTAGTCTGGTGCTGATAAAAATTTCCCCAGATGACTTCCGGAGGGAGTTCTACATAAATAAATTAAATGATCAATAAATAAATAACTAGGCAGAGAGAAAGCCAAAAGAACATCCATCATGCTCAACCCCTCCCTTCCCACCACACCCTCCTCCTAATCGACAACCAGTCCGCCTTCCAAAGCACGCCAACCTCCGTCCACCGGTCCCGCGCCAACCCCCAACCAGGAGAAAAAAGCCTTACAGTCCTCCTCACCGCCTTCCGCACCACACGCGCAAAACAAGACTCGAACTCACATAACCCCGCTACTAGCCATTTACAGCAACAGCATCGCCGTGCCAAACCAGTCGCAATAGCAAGCACGCCTCATGATGACGATGAACCCGTGCTGTGGAAACATGTCAACTCCGCCTTCATCGGCATGGAGCTAGAAAGCCATGCTGCGCGCGAGGATTCGCAAAGCAGCTTGCTATTGCCCGCGTGATGTTGGAGAACTGCAATGTAATAACGAATGAATGGGCTGAATACCCTAACAATGGTATAGCTAGCTAAATGCAAATCAAGAAAAGAAAGATCAATGTTACTTTGAACATATATCCATCCCAAACTACCTCATTCCAATAACACCATGGTTTAAACGCAGCGCAGAATTGGGGTATACCATTCAAGTTCCCCGGAACAGGAACTGCATATCCTCCGGCGTCAACTTCTCCAGCGCCTCGCTTTGGTCCTTATTAATCGTACCCCGAATCATATTGGCTTTCTTTTCCTGGAGTAGGACCATGCGCGATTCCACTGAATCCTCGATGCAGAGCCGGGTTATCACACACGGCCGCCGCTGGCCGATCCGGTGACATCGATCTGCGCTCTGCCATTCTGCAGCTGGGTTCCACCATCTAGAGAAAAGGGAGAATTTGTTAGCAAAGGCAGCGTACTAATATCGGGGTGCGACGGGAAATACATACGGGTCAACAATGAAGACTCTCGATGCTTCTGTAAGGTTCAACGCGACGCCTCCGGCTTTAAGAGAAACGAGGAACACCTCAACATCGACATTATTCATGAAATGCTCGATGGATTTCTGGCGCTGGGCTGGCGTCATACTTCCGTCTAGCATGACCGTGTTAAACCCCACCCGCCGCAGACGCCACTCAACCAGCTGGAGCATGGACGTAAACTGAGAGAAGACAATAGACTTGTGCGTCTGTTTCTTGCTGCGGAGCTTGAAGAGATCGTAGACCAGCATTTCGATCTTCGTCGATGACGTCCAGTTTTCCATTTTGATGCGGTTGATTATGGAGTTTTTCTTGACCTGATCCTCCTCTTGTTCAATATCAGGCTGCTCGAAGTCGATAGAAAGCGGGATATGACAGCGTGGACAGTCGGGTTCTCGTCCATCTTCAAAGGAGCGAATGTAGTCCTTGGCACATTGTCGGCAGAATTCATGGCGACAACGAGACCGTATTGGTTCTTCCGCCGGTTCATCGCAGATGCCGCAAACAAGGACGTTTTGACCACCTTCAGCATGTTTCTTCAAAATCAGGTCGGGGTGATTTGCAACTTGGCGCATCTGCATGATGAGACCGAAAATATTCGCGTAGTTGTTGAGCATAACGCCTCGACTGACGTATGTGTCAAATTGCCGAACAGTATTCGTCATAATGCTAGAGGAAAAGTCGCGTTCGATTTCTCCAAAGAATTCGTTATGAAGGATAACCCTTAAATTATGCACATGTTAGCGACCGGTTGTAGGTATAATTAAGATTGGCTCCGTTATTATCATACCGCTTGGGTGGGAGCTCCATCGAGGCTGTATGATCTTGTTTAACTCGACGGAGCATAATCCTGTCGGTTATGAATCTCAATTTTTCAAGGCCAGCCTTCCGATCTGCGGGATGTCTTGACTCGGTGACTTGAAGTATGTTAGCCAGTACCTTCTCCAAGGATCGAAATAACCTACTTGGATTGAGAATTTCCTGGTTGAAGATGGAAACATGACTGAAGCCACTGCGAGATGTTAGAATTCCGAACATGCTTATGATGAAAGGGTTTGGAGTAAAGTACCTATGGCGACAATGTGTACATCTCTTTTCTGCATCTTGGGACCAATGCAATTCCTGACATGGACACATCTTGCAAAAGTAGCATGCAAATGGCTTGACTTCCAAGAACCGCAGAAGTGAGAAGAACTCTCCAATTCGATTCTGAACTGGAGTACCAGAAAGGCACCATTTGTAGGTTGACTTCAATGCAAAACAAGCTCTTGCTACACTAGTGGTACGTTGCTTGGGGTAAAGTTAGCGGGTCATAAGACTTGAGATATCTTATTACAAGGAGACTCCTTACCTTAATACTATGAGCTTCATCGAGAATCAGGCGATGATAGTGAATAGAATGAATGACACCTAAACCTGTAAGGATGTGTACTCCGATGAGAAGATTCAGGGGCTTCAGAGCACATACTATCTTCCTTCACGAGACCATCGTTTCTCTTCCATCCTTTTACCTCCTTTCGGTGCATGGACTCAAGCCCAGCATCTTATCAAAAATAATCAGCAACGAAAAGAAATCCTTGCAGGTGATGAACAGCGCTTACATGATATCATGATCACGTCGTAGGCCAACAGCTCCTTTGCTGAAAGATTTTTGACCTTCGAGTTAGAACCGTGGTGGATAAGTACTTTCAATTTACCATCCGTGTATTGCTAGAGCAAAGCCCAACGTTAGCAGGGATCGGGCAAGGGGTCTGGAGGTTTAAACGTACTTCGATCTCCGACTGCCATTGCATCAGAGCAACCGGGGGCACGATGACCAACGAAGGCTTACCAACAGGGTAGTCAGACATCAACAGGGAGACTGCTTGGATTGTTTTTCCCATTCCCATCTCATCGCCGAGGAGCCCGCCCTTCCACTGTGACTTTTCTTGCTGTATCATCCAATTCAAGCCTTCCAGCTGAAACGATTTCAAGTTTCGAGAAATGCCGGATGGCTGTGCGGCTGGAGTAGGAGTTATCAAAGGGGCACTTTTAAGATCGTCCCAAATCGTTTGGATAATTGGATGCTGTTGCTCGAGTTTCCTTCGTTCCCTGAGAGCCTATATCTTGGTCAGCTTGGAAACGAGACTCCATGTGGGAAGGTAACTCCTTACTCGTGGAGTTAATCGCGCTTCTTCAGCGTTCCGCGGCCGAATCAGAACGCGGCGATGCCTTGGAGCTATAACTACACGTCGTAGGGGTCTGGTGGTCCTACGGGCGGAATCCCCATCACTGGAGTCTTCGTCACTGGAATCTTCGTCACTTAAAGCACTTTCAATTTCAGAGTCACTGATATCTGGACTGGCTAGATCAGAATCTAGTTCCGACAGAGAAGATTCTTCACTGTCAGGGATAGTGTCGCTCCGTATTGCGCTACTCATATTCGCATGAACGTGGTTCGAGGCCAGCGTAAGAGGTCGCTGAGTAGCCCTTCCTCGAGTTAAACGGGTAGCGTTTAATCTTGGCCGCAAAGTTTGGTTACTATCGAGGGAGTATGTCGGTTCGTCCAAGTTAGAGTCACCGTACTCTTCCGCTTGAAGGGCACGAGCGAGGGCTTCATCTGCGCTTTCGTCGGGTGAAGCATCTGTACTTGTAGAATTGGGAGCACCTTTTGCACCCCCTGAGCCTCTCATCAAACCAAATGCACTTGACCGCAGTTGTTGAAAACGGGCTGTTGCGTTCACACGTCTTTTGATAGGGTTGATAGGCTCTGCTGGGGTAACATTTGCGGTTGTCGCAGGAGTAGAGTCTCCGGTTGTGGTGCTCGTTCCACCTGCATCCGTTGAGGATGAAGGGGAGCCAAATGAGGGCTTATGTCCTATCGAGACTGCAACCATGACCGCTGGCCTGCTGGTATTATCGTTGGTTCGATCATGATCTGATACTTTCGCTCGCTTGCGAGGGGCTTTCAGGAGTTCGTTAATGGAGTCGTCACTCTCGCTAGCAGCGGAGTCCGCAACAGAGAGGTTCAAGGAGGATCGACTTTGTTGGCTTGGGCCTCTTTTTCTCAATGAGGTTGAGTATTTATCTAATAACATTGCCAGATGATTAGCTGTGCACATATCGTGAAAAAGTCAAAAACTTGAACTCACTTGTAGCCAGGCCTAAGGGCATGCCCCCCTTAGGCGGACGGTCGTTGGCCATGACGTCCACCAACAGGTCCACAGAATTAAGGATGAGGCTGAATTGTCAATGTGAAGCCGAGACTGCTTCGAAGGCTCGGTGTACCGCGGAGGTCTGTAAACTGAAAGCGTTCGAGTATGGATGAAAATCTCCACTTCTGCAGTGCAAGGTGAATAAAGGGGAAACGACTGGCTTCAACCGCTGAGAAATCTATCCACCTTCTCAATAACAACACGACCTTGTGTTAATCAGGCTCGTCTCCGTGGTGGTGTTCTTGGCTCACGCTCACCCCTTGAAATCTGACAGACGAAGGTTTGGCAAGCCTCCTGTCTACAAAGTTGGCCAGAATGGAAGCTTGCTCCACTGGCAAGACCTGGTTCGTTCTCCTCCCGTCCGCAACAACCTGAATACGAACTATCCAATGACTCACCGTACCGGCGCCAGCGACTCTCCTTCTAATTGCACTAGACAGATAGATCTAGCACAAAAAAGGAGCGTAAATAGACCAATTTGAGACACCGTGGCTGCCTGAATTCGTTCCCGAAGCAACGCGTTGTGGTCGAGGAACACGAGGCACGAAGTCACGTGCAGGGAGTATTTCAATTAAACCCCTTTCAGACAGGGGCAGACACCGACCTGACGACAGGAGACTTAGAACAGCAAATACTGGATATTAATCACCGGTTTTCAACATGTATGTGACTCCTCTGACTGGTGATGTGCTTAATGAGATCACTGGTAATGGTTGCTAACAGCTTGAAGGGCGCGAAGACCACAACGTTCAAATATCCGGGGGCCGTAAGTGGTTACAATAGACTCCTTGACCCGACCAGCACCCGGAGCCAATTAATTACTAACTTCACCGTTTCTTATGAAGACATTCTGCCTTGACAGATTTCCTAGCGGTATGTTCTACCCATATCTGATTGTATCTGTTTCTAGACATGTACTGTACTTGGAAGACAGGTTAGCTGATTTTCCCCTACCATAGTCCAACAATATCTCTGCGGCAGAAATCCGCAATAACTACGAGCAGCGCCTGAGGGAAGCCCGCCAACAAGATGAACAGCAAACAAATGACACTGGAGACAACAATAACAACAGCCAGGCAGGTGCCGAGCAAGATGAAGAAATGCCCGATGTTCCCGTGGAGAGCGCAAAGACAAGGAAACGCAAGTCACAGGCCACGCTTAAGGCTATGAACGCCGCGAAGCAGAAGAAAGCGCAAGGCATGCGAAATGACGATGCAAGAATCTTCAATTCCATGGTCAGCGGGAGGAAATCGGGTAACGTGCTTCCTGGCCAACTTGAGAACTGCGAGTATTGCAAAAGTCGCTTCACCGTTACTACATATTCTAAAGCAGGCGCAAAGGGTGGTCTTCTCTGCGCCCCTTGTTCGAAACGGGAGGATCTCCGGGACCAGCAAAGCAGAAAGACCCTTGCTAATAAGAATAAACGGGGCCGACGTCAAAATGTTAGCAAGATCCTGGATGGTATTGTACAGCTTGGCGCTCCGAGCCTTGTTGAGGCTTGCATTAAGGTATGCTGGTGCACCATTTTTTTCTCCGTGTTTCTTGCCACAGGGCTGGTAGATTGATTTATGTGGTACCATATAGCAAGTTGCCAATCACATCGAAGATATCGAGGAGTTTGGTGACCTCCCTCCTGATCTTGTCTTGAGGCTTAGCCACATTTTGTCCAAACGACGGGCATTGACTTCTTTAACGGTTGACCTGTTCCTCCGAGGTGACGTCACTGTCATTGATATATATGACTCTGGCAGTACGTTTTCTCCTATAATTAAGAGTATAAGGAGTGAAAAGAAAAGAAAAGAAAGAGTATAGAAAACTTAGCTAACAGGGCTACAGAACTGGAAGAGAATGATTTTCAAAAGATATTCGCTACCATGCCATTCCTCGAAAGGGTCAATCTTCGCTTTGCTGGTCAATTAAAAGATAAACAGCTCGAGTACATGATGGGCCACAATAAAAACGTCAAACATATCCATCTTGACGCATCCAACCTCATCTCAAATGAAGGCTGGCAGAAATTGTTCAAAGCATATGGCTCGAAACTTGAAAGCCTCAAATTATCCAACTTGGACTACTCGTTGGATGACGAGTCGATAGCTGTGATGGTTGAACATTGTACGAACTTACGCCGCCTGAAGCTAAAAACCTGTTGGCTGCTGGGCAACGATGCGCTCAGCTCAATCTCAAAACTCCCGAAATTAGAGCACCTATCCTTGGAATTGCTCAAAGAGACATCCTCCGAAGCACTGCTGGTGGTAGTCGACAAACTCGGGCCTAATCTGAAGACCTTATCGCTCAGCGGCTTCAAAAACGCCGACGACACCGTTTTGGACATGATTCATCAACGCTGCAAGAGGCTTTCAAAACTGCGCTTCGCGGACAACTGCATCTGCACCGATGCAGCCTACGCTCGCCTCTTCACGGATTGGGATAACCCGCCTCTCACCAACGTGGATCTTTCCAGCACTCGTGATGTGGATAACAAGAATCCCGACGGCCCCGAAACCCCCATCGGCCTAGCCTCGGCTGGCTTTCAAGCGCTCATGGACCACTCCGGGAAATTCCTCGAAAAGCTCAACATCTGTTCCTGCCGACACATTTCGCACGAGTCAATGTCTGCCGTCTTCGACGCAACTCATAACAAATACCCCTGTTTGAAAGAGTTCGACATGTCGTTCCACACGTCTGCGGATGATTTTCTTGTTCTTTCCATCTTCAAGTCCTGTCCTGCCCTAAGGAAGGTTATTGCGTTTGCTTGCTTTGGCATTCGAGACGTTAGAATTCCGCCTGGCGTGGCGCTTATTGGGGGGTTGAATGCGCACCATACAGCGCTGCAGCAAGATAGTATGAAGGTTATTGACCAAATGTTTTGAAGATATGCTAGCGTGTAAGTGCGTGCATTCGATCTACCTGCGCTGCCTAGTATTCGGTATGAGCTATGTTTCGAGGTTGTGTATTCTGGAATACCTAGTGATGAATCAATGTATCGTCCGAAGCTGCTAGGATTCTTATGATATTCTTTTACATTGAAATAAGCCAGAGAAGGTCTTCCGAGCCTCTCCTCTCGCAGGTTTTTCCCATTTCCTTGTTCTTTTTCTATCCTCATTCTACCAAGTTTAATACTTTTGATACCCAACCCTACGTTCAGATGCTTGCCGGGAAAACGTTGCTTGTCCTTTAGTGTTATCGCCAGAAGTGACCTTGTCCATTCATACCATTCACTTCTGGTATAGCCTAGAGTGTGGTAGCTATCAGTGTCTTGAGACCATGCAATCGCGCTGCGGCGTTATACGGTATCCCTTGCAAGTAGACCCCGCCTGGCTGTATACCTTTCCCATTTCCTGCATTGGGGATGATGAGGCGCGTAAGACTGCATCTCAGCCGAGTAAAAGCCAGACATATAGATATAAGCTTTGTACCATCCATCTCTCAAACGAAGGCGGGATTGTTGTGAAGGCCTGATAAGGGGAGTGGACGCTCCATCCTTCTCGAGGCAGATGGGGATCGTTGGCGACTATCCGAGCATGTATAGCGACTGACCCTCGCCCTTTTGTGGGATGGATGTGTCCTATGCTATCCCACTCCACATGGGCCTAACTTTGCCTGTATCAATCCCACTGCGCGTCCCCTATCCCATCGCAGCCTATCTCACTATCCATTCGTTCTCTCTAGGCTATACCTATCGCCTGCTCATTCATCGACAGCTCAGATCGCTGCTTCCCTAAGTACGCCGGTGGTGGTTTTCCAGCAACACGCCGCGACAACCTCAAGGGTAAGCCCGTCAAAACTGCCTACTATATCGGGTGTTATTAGATAGCCGCGAAAGATCGTATATACAACTCTTGGAGAGGCACCCTCTATTCAATCCCGCCATTAATGGACGCAAAAATACCGTCCGTCGTCTCTCCGCTCTCTTCGAACAGCCATACGCAGGTCAAAATGACTGGCATCAGCACGAAATACGATCGCCAGCTCGCTGACAGCGACTCTTTCACTAGCTACGACTTCCTATAGCGCCTAGAAACCCAAATGCCCCAATATCGAGCCGTGCACGGCTACCCGGGGTTCTACAACCAGACGTATGGGTGCAGACGAAGCGGGCTTCTTCACCAGGATGTCTCGACGTTGACCATAGCGACACGACACGGTCTACCTACTCTGCTAGTTACAGCATCTACTCCTGCTACCTGAGCGTCGATGTCTTGCCTTACTTGGGCTATCTGGGTGCGATATCTGGGGCTGTGGCCTTCATTGGAGCGGTTGAGATGGCTCTTTTTTTTTTGTATAGGATATGGCGCTCTTTCGATGAAAACAGCTCTAGCAGGAGTTAATATAGCATGATATACTACACTACACTACTCTACTCGTTTCTACTGATAATATATCCCTCCTACTCCCCGCCCATCGTTCATTCCCTCGTTCCGTCTGCCCATTCTCTCATCTCTCGCGATCTCATTTCCTACTATACCAACCTGTGTTGCCCGCCAGGGGCCCTCGGAGTGTGCACTCTGCCACAGGAACAAAAATGTCGACATTTCTGTCGGGGGCAATCTGATTGCCACCCATCTGGCAGTACGTTCCCTGAACCGTCCAGGGAACTGGAGGAAATAAGAAACCTGACAGCTATACATGCCCGAACTGGCTAGATAGTCTTAAACACTCTCCTGCATATCATCGGCCTTGTATATCCCGATTAGGGGAGCGGCGACTGCATATTCCTCGATAGAAACGTACTTCGCAAGGCTAAATACAACATGCTTCGGGTTTGCTCCAGAAGGGGAATGAGCTGTCCAGCAGGATCCAGTCGTTGCTCCTTTCCCTGCGAGAATTCGTAGGGGGAAACAGAATAAAGTTGCCCAAAACTCGGTAACTTTAAGGGGAAGCTTTCGGAGCCCAACGGCTTCCCCAGACGCCATCAAGCTTAAATCTATATAGAACTCTCCTCGACATTTAATTTTTGCGTCATTCCAATGGTAAGTCATGGAGCCCTGGGGCAATAGACTCCACGGCGGGCTATATAAATGCTCTCCCGGCTGCTCGTCTGCTCCCTCTTCTTCTTCCATCTTACAACCCACTCCATATATTCTGCTTTAAGCTTCTTGCTTCTTGTCCTGCTGAGACATAAGTTTTGATCAGATAAGCTTTCCTTCCACCAGCCTACATACAAACCAGCCTGCTCATAGAACTGAACTGCCTGCTTGCCATAAAAAAATAAATAAAAAGAAGCTTTGCTACTTCACAACAAGACAATCTCCCCAACCAGGCCTCAAGAGCATTTAAGGCTACTCCACGAATCGGCTATCCACAAACATTTTGAAAGTGAACTCTGAAAGCACCGTCAGCATCCACTATCCACTGTACACTTCAGTACAGCAATAAAAAACATCCAAGTCGGAAACATGGCCACCATGCCAAACCTCGGCTTGTTCGCGCGCTTGCCCTACGAGCTGCGCGAGAAGATCTGGGCTGAACTGGTCCCAACCCCTGCTCAAGACATGAGC